TTTTTATGTATGGATTTACTTTTTGTTGACTTTTCAGATATTGAAAAGTTACTTTATATTGTCACGTAAAATTTGTATTGATGGAATGCTGGGACATTTTGCAAAACTACTGAAACATTTATTTACATCTATTACTATTATTTAGTCAGCTGCCAAATTTCAAGAAAAAAGATTATGTAGCAGATAATTTTAAAAGTGTAGCCGTTTTGGTACCTAAAATTTGTTTTCACAAATTCCGCGATGGGTGTTATTGTGGATGGGGGGGAGTCGGAATGTATATAACAATAACACTGTTATTATTATTGTTACTGTTATTATGTGCACAACAATATGGTTTAAATATTCTTTTAGATAAAAAGCAGATATTATTTGTTGATCATAAATAATGATATCAATGAACATGCAAATAGAAAAAGGTCAGGAAATATATTTACTTTATCAATGCCATTAATAATGGCAATTATTCTTTAAGTTTCCAAAATTTTAAACCCATTTACAAAGGAACATATATTTGTTTTCAAAACATTCAAAACAGTTTTGAATGTTTTTGACAGTTTTTGTTTAAAATATGTCAATTTATTGAATAGCATTGACAATACTATTGTCAATAGTATTTACAATTTCATGCAAATACTATTGTCAATAACATTTGCATTGTCATGTTAAAACTATTGTCAATTCTGTTCAATAGTTAATGCTATTAACTTATTGATATTAACATTAGTTATCAAGTTAATACTATTCATTATACTAAAGTCTACACTGACAGTGTAGATTGTGTCACTACCAACTGTTAATTAATATTGACAAGAATAAATTTCTTTAATATTGAAAATAAATTATTATTAATATTATTGTAATTTTAAGTCTAGGCTGTTGTTAAAGTTGTATATTAATTCATGCATTACAATTATAATTTTATTATCATGCATGCATAAATAATGCATGCCATATTAGCTATGCATCCATATTAGTTCATGTAAGAAATTAATATTATGACTATCTAGCATGCCTAATATTAATGTTTAATTATTAATATCATTAATACTAAAGAATAATAAAATAATGAGATGCAAATAAATATTGTCATACACCAGCAGGCATATTGTTAATGACTAATAATATGCAAGCTGGTATGTAATAATAATTGTTTGCTTTGGAATTCGCTTCCTTCATCTTGCTTTCCTGATTCATATAATTTGCAATCTTTTAAGTCGTCAGTCTATCGTTATCTTGCTCTACAGATTTAGTCTTTTCTCTTCCAGTAACTTCCAACTCTTATAGTGGTTGCTTGCAGCCTTGTTGGAAGTGAAGATGTTAAAAAAAAAAAAAAAAATCTAATTTCCATAGTAATAAATCATATATTATAATTTTAAAAACTTTAAGGGAACGTAGTTAAAAATAAACAAAAATATATTAATTAAGATATTTTTCTAAAATATTTCTTATTAGTCTTTATTAAGATTTTTATTCATTATTTTTTATTTTACAAATAAATTATCATTTGCGTGTGTATTTATTAATTTTCTAACACTTATTCTATTTTTATTTTTTTTGTTCAGAAGAACGAATGGAACAACAACAAGGTATTTTCATTTAAATTTTTGCATATTTTAGAATATGTATTGTTTGATTGATTCTCAAACTGCTTCCTTAAACTGCTTTTAGCACAATAATTTTAAATTTCAGATTTATATTTTAGTCATAATTTTAGTTTTTATTTTACTAATATCATTTTCTTTTTTAGCCCAGCTTGAAAAAATTATAGTTAAGAAACGTTAATTTTTTTTTAATTTACATATTATATTGAGTCAAGTTAGATTGGTTTCCTTATATTTTAGTTTAACAAGTTTTATATGTATAAAGGCCTAATTTTTTGGCTAGTTGATATTAAAAAACTTAAAATACCAATATTAAAAAACTTATTTTTTGTAACACTTAGTGCCACTTTCAACTACTACTGATGGTAATATTTGAATTACAACTTAAAAATTTATGGACTATGTTTCTTTGTGTTTGTAACACTTTTTCACATATCTTTAGTTACGTGTGATGCTTTTTCCAATGGTAGTTTGTAAATAATATATAAATAATAAATTTTAAATTATGTTTCAATTTTTTTTTTAGTAAATTTTTATGTCTCTTTTGGTAACATCTTCATCGACAAATACAGGTACGTTTTTGATATTATAACTTTTTCAAATGATTATAAATTATGTAGAAATTGCAATATGGTTATCATTTTTGTAAGAATTCTTGTTTTGTCTTTAAGTGACATCTTCATCAACTTCTGCTAGTAGTTTTGTAAATTATAAAATTGCGTAATTTTGTAAATTATAAAATGTTTTTAAATTTTATAAGAATTTCAAAGATTTTTAATTCTTTGTTACTTTTTATTTTGTAACTTTTAGGGCCATCTTCATTGGCTTCTGTAATTTTGTTATTTATAGCATTTTAAAAATGATTTTTAATTAGGTACCAATTTCAATCACTTTAAATG